GATAAATCAAAATAAATTAATAAAATTTTTTTAAAAAGGAAAAAAAATATAACTCTGAGGTACCACCTCACACCTATCAGAAGTGACAAATGCTGGAAAAGATAAGGAAAAACAGGTACACTAATAAACTACTGGTGGAGTTGTGAACCAGTCCAAGCATTTTGGAGAAAAACCTGAAACCATGTTCAAAGAGTTATAAAACTGTGACTATCCTTTGACCCAGCAATATCATACTAGATTTGTACCCCAAAAGGATCAAATAAAAAGGAAAAGAACTTATGTGTACAAAAGTATTTACAGCAGCTATTTTTGTGTACAAAAATATTTATAGCAGCTATTTTGGCATAGAATTGGAAAATTGAAGAGATACTAATCAATTGAGGAAATGGCTTTGGCATATGATTGTAATGGAGTGCTACTGTGCTATAAGAAATAATGCGAGGAGGAATGTTTTCAGGGAAAAAAAAACATAACAAGACCTCTATGAAGTGGTGCAAAGTGAAGTAAGAACTGGGAGATCATTGCGCACACTTAACAACAATGCTGCAATGGTGATCAACTGCAAAAGACTTGGCCTATCTGATCAGTACAATGATCTAGAACAATTCCAAAAGACTCGTGATGAAAAAAGTGCTACCCAACACAATTTAGACATAAAGGGTGATACTATAAGCAAAGTAGGAAAACAAAGAATAGTTTACCTGTCAGATCTATGGAGAATGGAAGAATTTGTGACCAGACAAGAGATAGGGAACATTATGAAATGCAAAATGGATCATTTTGATCACATTCAATTAAAAAGGTTTTGCACAAACATAGCCAATGCATTCAAGATTAGAAGGAAAGCAGAAAGTTGGGGAATTATTTTTACAGCCAATGTCTCTGATAAAGGCCTCATCTCTAAACTATATAGAGAACTGAGTCCAATTTATAAGAATACAAGCCATTCTCCAATTGATAAATGGTCAAAGGATACAAACAGGCAGTTTTCAGATGAAGAAATTAAATCTATCTATAATCACATGAAAAAATTCTCTAAATCACTATTGATAAGAGAAACACAAATTAAAACAACTCTGAGGTACCATGACACACCTATCAAATTAGCTAACATGACAAAACAGGAAAATTATAAATGTTGGAGAAGATGTGGGAAAAGTGGAACACTAATGCATTGTTGGTGGAGTTGTGAACTGATCCAACCATTCTGGAAAGAAATTTGGAACTATGGCCAAAGGGCTATAAAATTGTGCATACCCTTTGATCCAGAAATACCACTACTAGGTCTGTATCCCAAAGAGAGCATAAAAAAAAACCATTAAAATGGGAAAAGGAACCACATGTACAAAAATGTTAATAGCAGCTCTTTTCCTGGTGGCAAAGAATTGGGCATTGAAGGGATGCTCATCAATTGGGGAATGGCTGAACAAGCTGTGGTATATAAATGTAATGGAATACTACTGTTCCATAAGAATTGATGAGCAGGCTGATTTCAGAAAAACCTGGAAACACTTGCATGAACTGATGTGAACACTGTACATAGTAACAACAACATTTTGTGATGACCGACCTTGATAGACTTAGCTCTTCTCAGCAATGCAGTGATCTAAGACAGTTCCAAAAGACTTGTTATGGAAAATGCTATCCACATCTAGAGAAGGAACTATGGAGTCTGAATGCAGATTGAAGCATACTATTTCCTCTTTTTTTTGTTTGTTTTTTTTCTTTCTTGTGGCTTTCCCCTTTTGTTCTGATTCTTCTTTCACAGCATGACTAATGTGGAAATATGTTTAATATGATTCTACACATATAGCCTATATCAGATTACACGCTGTCTTGGGGAAGGGGAGGGGGATTTGGAACTCAAAATCTTATAAAAGTGAGTGTTAAAAGCTAAAAATAAATTTTAAAAAATTTAAATGCTATGCAACTTGAGAGAGAGAACTGATGAACTCTGAGTGTAAATCAAAATATCATTTTCTCACTATTTTTTGTGATATAGCTAATATTGAAATATATTTTACATGATTACACATGTATAATTGATATCATTTGCTTGCTTTCTCACTGGGTAGAGTAGGAGAGAGAGAGAATTTGGAACTCAAAATTTTTAAAAAATGAATTATAAAACAAATAGATGGTTTTTTTTTTTAACAAATAGAGACAAATTGCAATTCTCTATCAGTGAAGGGAGTACCTATGCTGAGGAAATCATAGAACCTTGAAGTAAGTATGATTAAACAGGCTTTTGTATGCTGGCCAAGGAACCTAAACTGTCATGCATCACTATTTATGTAAGAGAGAAAATACATTCTGAATTTCAAACAAGTATCTTAAAAAAGAAACTCTTGGAGCTACAATTCCTCTGGTAAGTTAAGAACTACCTGTGTATGTTCAAATACATCTGGGTTTGTTGCTTAAAAAAAATTCATTCTGAATCACAGAATCTCAGTTACAAGGGACTTCAGAGGCTTCTATGTCTAATCTGTACCTAGAAGGAAAATCCCTCCATAGTATACCTGACAAGTGGCCACCTAACCTTCAATTAGCAATATCACATAGTAGAAAAGGCACTAGAGGGGGCAGCTAGGTGGCACAGTGGATAGAGCACCGGCCCTGAAGTTAGGAGGACCTCAGTTCAAGTCTGGCCTCAGACCAAACACTTGACACTTACTAGCTGTGTGACCCTGGGCAATTCACTTAACCCAAATTGCCTTAAAAAAAAAAAAGAGGGGCAGCTAGGGGTGGATAGAGCACCGGCCCTGAAGTCAGGAGGACCTGAGTTCAAATCTGGCCTCAGACCAAACACTTGACACTTAACTAGCTGTGTGACCCTGGACAAGTCACTTAACCCCAATTGCCTAAAAAGTAAAATAATAATAATAATATAATAATAATAATAATAATAATAATAATAATAATAATAATAATAATAATAAAAATTTAAAAAAGAAAAAGAAAAGGCACTGGATTGGAAGTCAAAATACCTAGGTTCAAATCCTGACTTTTCCATTTACTTCTTGTGTGCCCTTGGACAAGTCAGTGCACTTCTTATCACTTTTGTGGGTCAAAGATTTAGAGCTGGAAGGAGCCTGAGAGGTCATCTAGTCCAGCCTTCTCGTTATATAGTTGAGAAGTCTGAGGCTCAGAAAAATAAAGTGATGTAGCCCAGCTCACACAGCTAATTTTCGAGAACCGATTGTTCAATTTTTGGCATGAGCATTTATACCTTAGAAACTGGCAAATGATATAAATCAGAGCTTGATTTGTTTTATTGATTTTCTAGACTTAAGAAGGTAATAGAGAAATGTTAATAATGGAGATAAAACATTAAAGTGTGTTTTGTTTTCATTTCTTTTTCCCTGGAAAGATGGCTGTTAAACATTTACCAGTACATCCCCAGGTGTGAATTGAGAGGCTCTTGTATAAGATGCAAAGGTGGAAGAGATTTTAGAAATCATCTAATTCAACTTACCATTTTATGGATAAAGAAGGAATATGACTGTGAGACAAGTCATGGCTAGCTTTATGACCCTGGAGAAGTCATTTAACCTCTGTCTGCCTCAGCTTCCTCAGCTATAAAATTGGGGTAATAATATCATCTACTTCTCAGGGTTGTTGTGAGTATCAAATGAGAATATTTGTGAAGTACTTAGCAAAGTGCCTGGCACATAGCGGGCACTTAATAAATACCTATTCAGATTTCAGAAAAACCTGGAAAGACTTACATGAACTGATGCTAAGTGAAATGAGCAGAACCAGGAGATCATTGTACACAGTAATAGCAACACTGTGTGATGATCAATTGTGATTGACAACTCTTCTCAGCAAAACAATGATCCAAAATAATTCCAAAAGACTCATGATGGAAAATGTTATCCACAGCCAGAGGAAGAACTGATAAAGTCTGAAGGCAGATGGAAGCATACTATTTTCACTTTTTTTTGGTTTTTTTTCATGTTTTTTTTTCCCTTCTGTTCTATTCCTTTTTTCACAACATGATTAATGTGGAAATACATTTTACATCATTACACATGTATAACTTATATCAGATTGCTTGCCACCTTGGGAAGCAGGGAGGGGAAGAAGGGAGGGAGAAAAATTTGGAACTCAAAATCTTTTAAAAAATGAAAGTTGAAAATTGTCTTTATGTGTATTGGAAAAAATAAAATACTATTAAGTTCAAAAAATGCCTATTAAATATAAGTTTGATCTAAATCTTAGAGAATTGGACATATTTATTTTATTTGGATCAAATTTATGATTTCATTGGTGTAGGGTCCTCCCAACAAGGATATTCCCTCTAGTGATACAGATCAGAACAGATCTGTCTTAGGATCTACATCTTATATTTACTATGAAATTTATAATCTTAAAGAGTTGCCTAAGACACCGACAGATTAAGTGATTTATACATACAGCTTTTAAAAAATTAAAGGGCATGAAATTTAATTTAAAAAAATTTTTTCCTTTGTGACATTACTACCAAAAAGAGACTTTATGGTTTATTGCATAGACCCATTTCCTCTAAAATATACAGAAATATCTTATTGCTTGACTATTAGCCCTGGGAGGCTTTTATGCAACCCGGGCTATTTCCCCTGTGTAAATGGTAATCACTATGCCTGAGATGTCTCCTCTCTCTGAGCTCTTCTCATTTGCCAGAATTACTTCTCTCTCTTATATGGAAGCTTAATTTTAATCCTAAATTCATGAGCTACAATCATGGGAACCATAGCCCTGTTGAAAACTGAAGCTGTCAATTCACCGCCATAAAAGGAAGGGAAAGACAAGCAAGGCTTGGAAAAAGAGAAATTAGTTGCAAACAAACTCCATGTGCCCTCCAGGTACAAGCAGATGACAGACTGATATGTCTGCAATGAGGCAGGTAAAGAAACAACAATATTCATTACATCTTGACTACATGGGCCTTTGGACGATGCTGAAACAGCTCTGGATGGTAGAAGGGGGTTTAGTTTTCCTTTTCCTGATATACTCACCCCAAAGAGTAAAGACGACATTGCTTGTTTTGGATTTGATGAACCAAGCTGAATTTCTCATCAAGACAGATGGGCCAAGGCTTCTTTATGCTTCCAGAATCACTCATCAGGCCACTCGGGACCAAGTGGTTGCATGAAATCTGTGAAGGTCACATATTTTTAAGAGACATTTTAAGTCAAAACTGTATGTGTTTTTACTTATAGCCCCTAAAAGCTATAGGAGTATAGCTTCCTCATCAAGGGAGATATCCATTCTTGGGAGATCTAGAATGGAAACAGGTAAAAGGGAGGGAGTACAATATTTTAAATGCTTAAAAAAAACCCCTAAATGCAAAGAATAGAGGGAGCCTGAAGGGGCTCTGCTCCTAAAAGTTTAGGTTGGGTTTGGGAAATAGAGGGAAATATTTGTTTTGTTGCAATGACTTTTGGTAAGGAGTTGATAGGAAGGAAAACATGTTTTAAAATACTATTGAAGGAGCATTTTAACTGTAACCTAGAGGAAGCTGAGTAGAATAGGACTTTAGACTTGGTAGAGGCCAGCTTGTAAATTCAATTCAATTCATCGAAGCATTTATTAATCATAATTTACAGTATTAATATATAATATTGATAAATGATCAGAATTTATTAAGCATCAGATACCATGTTGGGTGCTATGGGCACAAAAAGACAAAAACAGTCCCTGCCCTCAAGGAGTTTACAGTCTACTGGCATGTAAATTCCTGTTTTTACATATGAGAATACAGAAAGCCAGAGAGGTCAAAGACATGGCTAATGTCATGCAGGTAATAAGTGCCAAGGTCAGAATTTGACCCAGGTCCTCTGACGCCAAATCTGTTGCACTTGCCACGATACCATTATCCCTGTCTTATAACTGAAGTAACTAAGGCCCAGGGAAATTAAGTGACTTATTCAAAGTTTCTTGTTGATGTTGAGTCATTTTTCAAGCAATGTCTTCGTGACCCCATTTGGGGTTTTCTTGGCAATGATTCTAAAGTAGTTTGCCCATTCCCTTATCTAGCTCATTTTGCAGATGAGGAAACTGAGGCATACAGGGTTAAATGACTTGCCCAGGGCACACATCTAGTAAGTGTCTGAGGCCAGATTAGAAAGATGAGTCTTTCTGACTTCAGTCCCAGAGCTCTATAGAATCTGTGCATGTTTCCTGAGGGTAGCATGATCCAAGTGAGAACATTTTCTTTGAAAATAAAATTACTAAACTCTTCTGTAAAATAAATTTAAGAGGGATAATTTATGGAACTCTCTGTTCTGCTGGACTGGGGATACCTCCCATGGAGGTGGACATATGCTCAGGTACATTCTGTGGGACATGTGTTCTAATCCCTTGCTAAAAGACATGTATCTTAAGCAACTCCTAATTGGGCACCAGTTGTGTCAGAGATTGATTAACCACAGAATCAGGAGAAGCTGATTTGGTGGGTTCAAAAGGCACTGAGGAGAAATATCTCTCTCCCCCTCCTCCTCCTCCTCCCTCCTTTATCCTTTAGGATTTCCAGAAGACAGAAAGGGAGTTCTCCTCTCCTCTCTAGCCACCTCATAAGCACATATTCCATAAAAAAAAAAGGATCAAAGCATTTATCCAGTTCTGTGAAAGATACCCCAGTCCAATAGATAAAAGGGATCCTCAGATCATTAGTGTTTCAAAATAAAGCAAGTAAGAAAACCAAAGAAAATGTGTATAAAAATGTGTATATAAAAAAAATTTCAACCTCTCTGATCTCAGCTGTACCCTAAGCAAACATGCTATTCATCTGGGGAGACTTTGAGCACTTACATGGCTTATACAGCTGCAGCCCTGAGAGCTAAAAGCAACATTTACTGTTGCCAAGATAGTGATCTTACCAAGCAGTGGTATGTTTTCTCAGCCTAGCAAGAAGTACAGCAAAATGCTTGACTTTCTAAGGAAGATCTATGAATTTAAGGCAACTCTAGCTACTTTCCAGAAGCCAAACATGTAAAATGCAAATTTTATTTTTAATGCTATGTTGTTTCTAAGTGCTTTGAAAAATACATAGTAATAGATAACCCCAGGCTTCTCTGAGACATCTGAAATATAGAAAAGGCACTTTGGGCTCAACTATCCTTGCACTAAATTGATTTTTCCAAAATTACAATAGAAGCACAGCTAATTATGTTGGTCTCATCAGATAACATAGCAAACTTCATTAATCTTTCTAATACTTGGAGGTTACCTGGCCAACCGCTCTTGCCACATATTTGTCAGGGAGTTAGTTCTAAGTACAGTTTTAAATTGGAGGTTTGGAGGAGGGGCCTGGGGACAGGTTAAGCAGGAATCTAGTAGAAATGCTGTAACCCCAGAATCATCTGTTGATTCTCTCCCCTTGTTCCCTGCTTTTTAAAAGTTTTTGTCTATTTTTTTCTATTGAAAACAAAACCAGAAATAAATACATATATATATATATATATATATATAAAATATATACATACACTACTTATGTAGAAAACCATGTTGAACACCCTTTATATACACACATATATAGCGTGTATATAGAAGTGGTTTTATATACACACTACTTGAACTAGTAGGGGCAGCTGGGTGGTGCAGGAAGACCTGAGTTCAAATCTCACCTCACCAACTGTGTAACCCTGGGCAAATAACTTACCTCTGCTTGCCTTTCTCTCCCCTCCCCACCACCCTCCGAGAGAACTTTCACTAGCACAAAGTATGTAAGGTATAAAAGAAAAAGCACTAGACTGGGGAAATCAGAAGGCTTAGATTCTAGTCCTTACGCTATAGCTCTGTGACCCTTAATAGCTCACTTAATTCAACAAGCATTTATTAAATATGTGCCAGGTGGCAAAATGTTGTGCTACCTCTCTGGGCCTCAGTTTCCTCTTTTGTAAAATGTGAGGGTTGGACAAGAGGACAGCTAAGATCCTTTCTGTATCTAATATTTCATGCATGTTCATGAAGTTTTATGAAGTGGGAAACTCAAACTTTTAACCATGGCCGAGAATAACCAGGGTTATTTTTCACTTAAATGAAAATTGCAGTATACAAGGGGTTGGAAAATGCATTTCTTTTCCTTCCACATATTTCATCTGACCAAGTACAGTTGTTGTCATTATTGGAAAGAAAAGTCCTCCATTCCAATATCTTTTTATGGCCCTACCTTCTCTCAAAGGATCACAATAAAACGAAGGAATTTCTTGGTCTTGTGCTTTTTATTATCATATTTTTCAAAAGCATTAACATCAAAGACCAACTGGGAACATTGGACAGTGTTTCCCAATTATAATTCTCCTACTTTAAAAAAAAAGCTAAATATTGTTTACTTTACTTTTCTGTATAAGATTTATAGTCAAGGATCCATGAAACTCCTTGTAAATAAATAAGTAAAACCAGAATAATGTGTTTATAAGCCAACTCAGATAATTAGTTTCTGTTTTCTTCAATTTCCCCCTTGCAATTTTAATCATAAAAAGTGGATGGATAGATAAAAAAGGCACACTCTAGAAAATAAACCTATGTGAACAAGCATTAATTAATTAATTGATAAGTTACTATTGTAACCTGCTTCATTTTTGTGTCCTGAATCTAAGAAGAGTAGGTAGAAAGAATGCTTGAAAAATTATACTCATTATGTAAAACACATTTCAAATACCATCATTATGTTTATGCTGTACCATTAACCAGAGGAGCTCAAGCGGAATCTATGGCTTAAAGAATGTTTTGTTTCAATTTCACAGACATCCCACTTCATTCAGTAGGCATAATCACAAAAAGTTACATGTATGTCAAATTTTTGGAAATCAAGTCAAATTTGAAATGTACTCAGTTCACCATTTAAAGCAAGGCTTCTTGATCTAGGGCTCATGAATTTGTTTCTCTTAATATTTAATAACATATTTCAATATAATTGGCTTGCTTTGTACTCCTATAAATTTTATTTTATAAATCAAAAATATTATTCTGAGAAGAGATCCATACATTGTATCAGATTGTCAAAGAAGTTTATAACAAAGAAAAAGGTTAAGAAACTCTCATTTAAAGGACCTCTGTCATATTAGATTGTTTACTGTCTTAGGAAGGAGAGAGAAAAAATTTGGAACTCAAAATTTTATAAAAATCAACGTTAAAAATTATCTTTACATGCAATTGAAAAAATAAGATACTTTTTTTTTTAAAGAAAACTGATGAGCAAGGTTCTTTCAGAAAAACCTGGGAAGACTTACATGAACTCATGCAAAGTGAAGTGATTATGACCAGGAGAACTTTGCACACAGTAGCAGCAATATTGTATGGATGATCGACTGTGAAAGACTTAGCTACTCTGATCAAGACCATGATCCAAGATGCTTCCCAAGGATCCATGATAAAAAATGCCATCCACCTCCAGAGAGAGAACTGATAAGCTCTGAATGCAAATTAAAGTATATTTTTAAATTTTTTTCTTTATTGTTTTATGTTTTGTTTTCTTTTGTAATATATAAAATTATGTAATATGGAAATACATTTTATATGACCTCACATGTATAATCAAAATCAAATTGCTTGCCTTCTCATGGAGTGGAGATGAGCTGGAGGGAGAAAATTTGGATCTCAATTTTTAAAAATTTTATTTTTTATTATTTTATTAATTTTATTAAAAAATTATTTTAAAAAATAATAACTACTAAGTTTTTATATGCAATTGGGAAATATTTAACCAAATAAAAAATAATTTTAAAAGTCTCTGTGATAGATCCTTGTATAAGGTTACCTTCCACAGGGTAAATCATCACTTCCTAATTTATAGTTTTATAAGCTTGTATTTTTATATATTGGGTTTTCTGAAAGCAGAGCACGTAGGAGCCTTGATGTAATCTTGGTTATTTTTCTTATTTAACTTCTGAAGGATAGGACCACAAAGCCTTCAACAACTTTTTTATTTTTTTTCTCCCCCTTTTCCTTTAAAACGATTTCTGTTGCTTGAAATCGCTATGTTATCATAGCCAGACACTCCCCAAGGCATGTTTCCTGAAGGCATATGGCTTGGGGAGCTGCCATCAGAGGTTGAACAGGAAGGCTTATCTGAAAATAGCACAGTCCTTATCGTGCTTCATGGCTTTATGTTTGCCAGCCTTCAATGTCTGACATTTCTCAGGACCTAGAAGA